TTCACCTGGTGAGCTCTTCTCAGGTTTGTCTCTGACTAAACTCGTTGTAGCGGCGACTCCGTGTTCTGCCTCCTCTTTGTCTTGCTCTCCTATCCTGACACAGAGAGAGGCAGAGAGAAAGATCTTCCATCAGTTGGTTTACTCCCCAAATGGCCACCATGATCAGGGCTGAGCCAGGCTGAAATCAAGAGCCGGGAACTCCATGCAGGTCTCCCCGTGGGGGCAGGGATCCAAGCACTGTGCTGTCTTTCACTGCTTTCCCAGGAGCATTAGCAGGGAGCTGGCTTAGAAGTCCTGGAGCAGTCAGGACTCCAGCCATTCAGCATATCTGTGGTGCCACAACGCCAGCCCAGGCTGCCCCCTGTTTGACTTGTGTCTCCTGTGCCTCAGCAGGCTGCCCACCTTGGAAAGGTTTGCCAGACCTGGCAAAATAACGGCTTCTCCAGACGTGATGGGCCCACAAGGTGCAAGAAAGGGACAGGGAGGAGGAGGGCAAGAGTGTAACTGAGGACTGCCCTTGGGAAGTGCCTGGAAAGAGAGAGCCCAGTAGGACAGGAGAGGGAGGAAGAGGAGCCTTCCGGGCTCTCCGATGGGCAGGGGAGGAGGAGGGCGGGACTGCAGGATGCACGGCCCCGTGGGCAGTCCAGCCATGTCTCCCAGCCATTCCTCACTGCACATTAGAGTGACTGGCACAGTTCGCAGTCCACTGCCTCTCCTGCCACTTGGTCTCCCCAGAGGGAAAGTGTCCTGAATGTTGTGAATTACCTGGAAGAATTCAATAGGTGGACAAGATGATGAGGGATTCTTTTTTTTAATTACTGGTAGCCACAGCGGGCCTCTTCAGGCGCAGTGGAAGAGGGAGAAAGCAAGGTCAGGCGGTTCCTGGGATTCTCCAACCTTGAGCTGATCTGCTTCATCGTGGAAGCGCACCACAGGCTCCTCGTCCTAAATCCCAGCACCTGCGAAACAACTAACTCGTGGTTTTGCCTATTGATTTTTTTTTTTTTGACAGGCAGAGTGGACAGTGAGAGAGAGAGACAGAGAAAAAGGTCTTCCTTTGCCGTTGGTTCACCCTCCAATGGCCGCCGCGGTCAGCACGCTGCGGCTGGCACACCGCGCTGATCCGATGGCAGGAGCCAGGTACTTCTCCTGGTCTCCCATGGGGTGCAGGGCCCAAGCACTTGGGCCATCCTCCACTGCCTTCCAGGGCCACAGCAGAGAGCTGGCCTGGAAGAGGAGCTACTGGGACAGAATCCGGCGCCCCGACCGGGACTAGAACCCGGTGTGCCAGCACCGCAAGGTGGAGGATTAGCCTAGTGAGCCGCGGCGCCGGCCTGCCTATCGATTTTTAAAAAACGTTTCCTGGTAGCAGCATAAAAATTCAGAAAACAGAGGGCAAATGATCCCCCTGTCCTGCCCACAGCACAGAGCCCGTCCCTTTCTGGTTGTAAACACAGCGTGCCCTGTGTCCTGGTTTTCCTCACTTAACATTATCTGATTCTTTTTTTATGAGCAATGAAATGTGATCCGAGGTGCTGCTCACAGGGTGTTTTGAAAGTCCATTGTTGGAAGGGTTGGGGAGTACTCGCTAAGCCCCATCGGGTTCAGGGAATCAGGAAATGAAACTTTGTATTTATTGGTCTTTGGCTTTCCCATAAATGGACACAGTTCTACCTTGTTTGACTACATTGTAAAAGCAGAGGCAAAGGCGAGCCGATGAGTAATTAGTCCTCGGGCGGCCGGCAGCACTGTATGGGGTCGTTTCTACCCACCCGCTGCCTTGAAGGTGCCAGTCTGTTCCGCGGGTGTCAGATTCCTTTAGTTCCTTTGGTTTAAAAAAAAATCATACTTTTTTTTGTCCAAATGTTCTAAAACAATGAACTGGTGTTTGTACAGTAGCTCAAGGGAAACGCTAAAGGATCTTGGCTGCATAGACGGTTTTTAAAAACCCTTCCCCGAGTCTGATTAATCTTCTGTCTCCTGTGAGGGCTTGGGGACATAAAATGATGTGTTCTGCAGAGCCAGTGGAAGCCGGGTCCCCGCCTGGGGGCTTCTCTCCTGGACACCAAGCCAAGGCAGTGACCTGACCTCGCCTGCCACCACAGGTTTTGTGACATCCCAGAGAGGGTGTGCAGTGGTGACAGGTCCCTCTGCCAGCCCGCTGGGGTTGTTATCTTGACCAGAGACCTGGAAGGATGCGGTTTTGCCTTGAGCGCCTTCCCTAGTGAAAAGTATCTCTGCATACACTTCCTCTGGAATAAAATTGTTATCTTCTCTACCTGCGATCACAGCTATTAAGTAAGTCTCTAAAGGGAATCTGTCTTCAGGAGGGTTCACAAACACAAGCTCAGTAAACGTTGTCATCTTCACAGACATATCGTGACTCACCGCCAGCAGCCTGGGAGACAGGATGACGTCCATTTCATTAAAAATCAGAAGTCGGGAACAACCGGATCTGCAAACACTGGCTTCACAGTTGGCTGTTTTAAAAATGTGCATTTATGGGGCCGGCGCTGTGGCGCAGCGGGTTACGCCACCGGCTGCAATGCCAGCATCCCACGTTGCAGTGCTGGTCCAAATCCTGGCTGCTCTGCTTCTGACACAGCTCCCTGCTAATGTGCCTGGGAAGGCAGTGGAAGGTGGCCCAAGTGCTTGGGCCTCTGCACCCATGTGGGAGACCTGGATGGAGCTCCGTGGCCCAGCCCTGGCTATTGTGGCCATTTGGGGAGTGAACCTACAGATGGAAGATATTTCTCTCTCCCCTCTCTGTTAGCCTTTCAAAAATAAAATAGATCTTTTTCAAAAATAAAACCACTCAGTGGTTCATTAGTACCCAATGACCTATAGGGTCGAGAGAGCTGTGCTCTGTGATCAGCTGACAGTGAAAGGGGATGGTCAGCCTGCCAGGTGCACCTGTGCCTCTCCAAGTCCACAACACACCTGCCTCTGCCTCACCTCTGCCTTCCCCGACTCGGGGCGGGCTCAGCCTGTCAATTTCCACTTGGTCTGTAAGGACCACTCTTTCTTGTGTTAAAGAAAAGGGGCTGGGGCTGTGGGTGGGGGCTGTTGCGGAGCTGAGCGGAGTCAGAGGGCAGAGCCAGAGAGAGGCAGCGTGGACTCAACGTTCCTGGTGTTGAAGACAGAGGAAGGAGCCAAGGAGCCACAAAGCCGAAGCTGACAGGGACATGTGACGACTCCCCGCGCCTCCAGCAAGGAGCGCAGCCCGGTGAGCCAGTGTTTCCCCCATCGAGGCCCGCTGTGGACTTCCGCGCTCCAGGACACAGGATAATAAATCTGTGCTGTTCTAAGCACAACAACAACGATAGTTTCTCCGTCAAGCCGTCGGCGCCTGTCTTCCCGCGTGTCCGCCCTCGCGCGGAGCTGCTCCTCCCGCCCTGTGGGAGCGAAGCCGCCGTGCCCAGCTGTGCGCTCACCCCCACCTCCCGACACTTTGAGCTGCAGCCACACTCACCTGCTCCCCCACCGCGTCCCTGCTTAGCTTGCTCCATCCAAACGGGGCCACCTGCTGCCTGACACCACCCAAGAGCAAGCACTGGGACTTCACGTTCCCAACTGTGAGATGGGAGAAGCCGGAGCCCTCATTCTGTCAGCTGAGCAAACCTATTATCATCTCTACTGAGCTATTAATTCTTCATTTTACCTATCATTAGGCTGCCAGTAAATAAGTAAATGAAGCCAAAATAACTGTGGATATCCATAAGTAATCAAAATGTATTTAGTGCTTTAGTAGTTTGTTTTTCTAATTTCCCTTTAATTAGCATAGAAAGAATTAAAATCAATTCTTTATCCAGCAGATAAAAAATAGACTCCACTCTCGCCCTGACACATATCCAAATTTTAACGTACACAAGCACAAATGCACAATTGTTCTATGATCTAATATGTATCCAGTATTAAGCATATTGCCATGACATTTATCTTCTCTCCCTGATCACAGCTTAATAAAATTATAATTATGACCTTTCAAAGTATCATCGCTTGATCCACCTACTCGGCATCCTTAGCTGAAAATCACGGCTATTGCCGCCGCCGGCTGGGTTTGCTGTCTGACAGATATGCCAGCCCGGATGCACCGGGAGCAAGGCTGGGGCTCATGGCTGCTCACCTGGCTGCTCACTGCTGAACCAGGGCCCAGGGTCATCGAACAATGAGGAAACACATGGGGCAGTTGGGCCTTCCTCAGGCAGGCTGGGCCCTGGGTGGTGTGGCTACTCTGCTGGTCCCGACGGGCTGGGCCAATCAGGAGGGAGAGTGTGTGGTGCAGGTGCTGGCCGGGGAGGGCTAGGCCTATCAGGGACTGAGCTGGAACTAGTGCAGGTTCCAGCAGCGAACATTATCCGCTTCAGAGCGAATGATTGTGATCAGAGACGTGGAGCCCTCTGATGGCTGACAAAGGCCAAGCCCTCTTCCTTTCTTTTTTTTTTTTTTTTTAATAACAGTAGCTGTTTTTAAAACATTTTTTGTTCTTTAAAATCTGTTTCTTTATTTATTACTATGTGTTTGAAAGGTGAGAGACAGAGACAGACCCAGAGAGACCTTCCATCCGCAGGGCCAGGCCAGACCAGAGCTGGCAGTCTGGAACTCAGGACCTGCCACGTGGGGCGGCAGGGACCCAGCTGCTTGAGCCATCACCACTGCCTCCCGGGCGTTGGCAGAAAACTGGAATTGGACGCAGGACCAGGGCTTGAACCCAGGCACGTGATATGGGATGCAGGCATCCAAAGCGGTGTCGTAATCGCTACGCAAAGTGCCCTCCTCCGCAACTGCTTCTCTTTAAGACCTGGGAGGTCTCGGATACCAGGCCTTGCTTGCAGTAGAACATTTCCTCCTGAGGAACAGGGAGACTCCTGTAGGATTACGCCGAGGCCTCTGCACCCTCTTTTGAAGCCCCAGTGGTATTTGTTAGAGGTGGACTGGCCATGCCACTCACGGCTGATACCAGTCATGGAATCCCAGACAAAAATCATCAATAGCAGAAGAGCACGTAGGATGGCTTTATTGTAAAATCATCAACAGCAGAGAGAATATTTAAGATGTGTTCCCCAGCGGAGAAGGCTGAACTCGGCTGGGATCACTCACAGCACGGCAGCGTGGAGTGTGGACCATGAGCAGAGCTGTTCTCTCTGCTGGGAGCAGAGGCGTTCCTCTGCCAACGAGGCTGGCCCGTCAGTGAGCAGGTGTGTAGAAACCGTCGTCCTTGGGGCTGGCCATTCAGGCATGAGCTCCTGTTTGGGCAGGAAGAGGAGAAGGGAAGAAGATAGGATTGGCGCTCTTGCGCCTGTATGACCCAACGTAAGGACTTGCAAATCAGTGGGACTTCTGTTAGGAGACAGTGTAGCATTTGGGGCTCTTTTGGTTACTCTGCAGAACTCACACGCTGCACCCAAGTAATCCAACAACTTCCTAGCACCGTCATCAAGCATCTGAGTTACAGTCGTGGTCATGGCGTTGACCCAGCGAGTCAAGCTCTGACGGCACTGATTGGTCGTGAAGTAATTGGGGTTTCGTGTCGGTGCATCTGTAACCTGTTTTCTTCAACACTGTGTGGTACATGAGAGGTTTCATTTGTTGCGATGGGTACTCATAAAGGCAGCATACGACGTGTCACGCACAGTGTGAAGGAGCACAGTGGCTGCCCCGAGAGCAGGCCTGGAAGGCAGGGTCTCCACCAAGCCTCAAAGCCCAGTGCAGAGCTAAGGGGGTTCCCCTCACATCCCTGGCTCCCACCACCATGCTAGCACCAAAGATTGTGGGTGGCAGCAAAGAGCCCAGAGAAGAAAATTGATTCTGCTTGCTTGTTTTATGGTTCTTGGGGTGTTACCATAACAGCATGGATTCTTCCCGAACTCTGCAGAACATATGGGAAGCCTATACTTAGATTATCATTTCAAGGCCTTCCTCCCCCATAGCCATCTCCCCCCTCCCCCCACGAATCCTCAATATGGGATCAATTCTGGGGTTGAAAAAACCAAGTTGAATGGGGTGAAATGTCCCAGTTCCGAACTTGGGAGTCACCACCGGCCAGCAAACTGCAGCGTGGACATTGTCCTGGAACGGCTGTCGGGTCAGCAGTGGCAGGAGATGCGTCCCCAGAACTAAAGACAGCCACGAGATGCTCCAAACAAAAAGAAGGCGCAAGGCAATCTAAATCACAGTCGTGAATGTCAAAACAGACCACATGGAAGCTGCTTCTCTGTCTAAAAATAGACAGCATTTAGGAGCTGGTTCCCTCTCGGAAATCATCACTCTGCTCTTTCAACCGTGTTTCTGGGAGCCTTTGGATACGATTTCTGCAAACGTGTATTAGCGACTCAGTAGTTAGGCAGGGACCTCCTACATGTACAGTAAGCAACCAACGCTTCCCGGTGTTATTCTAGAAGGGACACTAGGCAGCGCCTCTCCAAAACCTCATTACTAAGCCGTCAGCTGCTCTAAGTCATTTCTTTCCAGGATGGCAAAAGTCCAAGTCGAATTCATTACAACAGAAGACAAAATCTATAAACACCTGCATGTAATTGATTAGTAAGTGGGGGTCACTTGCACTGGCGGCTTGTTTACTCCTCTGTTCAAAGCAACATGCTCAAACAGAGAGCCAACAAGGGCAACTCATTGACAGGGTGCCAACCTGTTAAAGATTTTATTTTCATAAAATGATTGCTTATATTTGGGGCTTCTACGCTGGTGTCCCCAGACCTACACCTCCATTAAAGTGCCCAGTCCTGGGGCGGCGTTGTGGTGCAGTGGGTTAGGCTGCCATCTGCAATGCCGGATGCTGATTCAAGTCCTGGCTGCTTCACTTCCGACCTGGCTCTCTGCTAGTGTCCTGAAAAAGCAGTGGAAGATGGTCCAAGTGCTTGGACCCCTGCACCCACAAGGGACACCCAGTTGGAGTTTCTGGCTCCTGGCTTCAGCCTGGCCCAGCACTGACCATTGCGGCCATCAGGGGAAGCAGAGGATGGAGTAGAGGATGGGAGATCTCCCTGTCTCTCTAGCCCTGACTTTCAAAATAAATAAGTAAATACTTTAAAACATAAAGCTATTCCTTCCCTGTTCTACGCTGAAGCTCTGCTGAGATTGAGGAGAAAAACTGGGGCTGGCTGAGGCGACGAGTGGACGAGTGGACGAGTGGACGAGTGGCCGCTCGCAAACATGCGGGGATCTCTGATTTCACAAACCCAGGCAGACCTCGGACAAGAAGTCCTTGGGAGGTGGTGAGGTGCGGCGGGAACTGAACCCCCTGGCTTGTGCGTTTCCCACTGTGTGGACTTGCGGATCCCCTCTGTCTACACTGAGTGATCCTGATGTTCCAAGTGACAGGTGACAGGTAGGGGCCCGTGACGCACAGGTCAGATGTGTGGCAAATGTGTTCAGGTTTGCTCCCAGGGTGTTGAGTGGAGGGAGTGAATTTGGGAAGAGAGGGAGCCCAGGGTATCTGGTTGGGTTATTTAGAGACGTTCCCTGCCAGGGTGGGTCCTCCTCTCATCCCCAGTGTCAAGCAGTGAGCTGGGTCCAAGGCAGTGGCAGAGCGATTGTTGGAAGGCGGCGGCAGGACCGGGTGCCAGGAAAGTAGCAACAGGCAGCCTGGGAGCCCCTCCCTGAAGAAGGAGCTGGTGCCCACACTGGGCAGCCCCTCCTGCCTCTCACCCAGCCTCCCAACCCCCCGTCCCACACACACGGCTCGCAGGGGAGTTACCAGCCACCCTCGGGAGGCCACAGGAGCATCGAGCCCAGAGCCGCGCGCTGCTCGCACTCTGCCGCAAGGCCAGACAGACTTGGCAGTGTCTCGGGAAGCAGGGTGATGGAGGAGAGTAGCAAGGCATGGGAGCAAGCAAAGTTGGTGTCAGACAGAACTGATCATTGCACCCCCAAACAAAAGCCAGATGGTGACCTTGGACATGAAAGTGATGTTTGGAGACAGGAAGACCTCGGTAGACTGAGAAAGCAGAATGGACCATCGATGGTCATGTGGTGTGCTGGACGCTGAAGTCCAGGGATTCCCCCTAGGAAACCAGCGCGAGCAGACGAGCTGATGGAAACATAAAGGAAGACGGAAGGCCAGACGTGTCGGTCTCCATGCAAGGAGACTTCTAGAAGAAAAGGAAAGAATGAAGGGCAGAAAGTAATCAAAAAAGTAATTGGAGAAAAATTTCCACAGCAAAAACACAAAATTGGAAATTACAAGACACAGATCCTGACAGTGACACCCCACGCAGTTCATGCGTTTTCATATCTTGGAAATGTCAGCCTTGATTAGCAGATTCACAGACCAGAAGGACTCCAGGATAAGTCTGTGGCCAGAGGAGCAAACCCCACACACACAGTGCGTGTAGAATGGGTAAAATCCGAACAAGGCCTGTGCAGAGCCACTGCACGTTCCCTGGTGGCGATGTTCACGGTGGGCCGGACCTGCGTCACACTGCTGCACTGCTCAGCGAAGTCCACTGTCCAGATGTATTCAGGCCCCAAATCCATAGCTCTTATCATATGCAGATTACACTGGGTGGGTCAGCCCTCAGCATGTGACCCCTTATAAAAGGGACTGAACACATGCTGGGGAGAGAGACTGCAAAATATGAGAGGGGCCCCAACCCCAACCCCTGCTGGCCCTGGAGGCACAGGGGCCGCACGCCTGGAATGCGGCCATCTGGCTGTCCTCCAGCCACAAGGACCTGGACTCTGCCACAACCAGCAAGGCTGGAAGTGGACAGCAGGCCCAGGTGAGCATGAAGCCAGCTGAACACGCTGCTGTCAGCCCATGAGGCCCCGAGCAGAGGCTGCACCCCGACATCAGACCTGTAGTCAGCTAAAAACAGCGCGGCTCTGGGTCACCCCATTTGCAGTCGCTTGTTAAACAGCAATAGCACGCGGGTGTGCGGTTTCCCTGCCGTTATGCCCTCTGTGTAATTTTTTTTACAACTTTCTACGACCCTGTAGATATTTTCGGGAAAAAAACTAAGTGATTTAGAAGGGAGATTGCACATCCTTCACAAATATACATAGATCAGCCAAGGAAATTGACTGGGTATTAAACCAAAAGAATATTTTCAAATTTTCAGTAACCAGGATTCAAGCAAATCTTTTTTTTTTAATCACTGACCACAATGCAGAAAACATTGGCAACAAAAAATGACAAGGAAAGAATGAATTTTAAAATGCACTTCTTAACAGTTCTTGCGCCAGCAAAGAAAACAAGCTGTTTAAAAGTAAGCACCAGCCTGGGATGTGTATATATACACAAAGTGCTATCGGCAAGAAGTAGGCTTAATTCCATTTACAAAGTAAACAGGAAAGACGGAAAGTAATTGAGTTACACTTTCAACCTTGAGTAGCTAGAAAAAGAAAATCTCTGTAAGCCCAAGAATGGAATCGGCAAACGTGACGCATAAATTGATGAGATCGAAAGAAGAGCAACAATATTGTGGAGTGCTGGAGACAGCAGCAGCCCGAGGACCACATGGGCATGTCAGAGGGTGGGACGAGGCAGGAGTCCACAGCCTCGAAGGGAATAATGATATTAAACATGAAAAAAAAAACCCTATATAAAACAAATATTTTCCTCTAAAGATAAAAATGAACAAGAGTAGAAAAAAGAGAAAGACAAGTACCTTTCAGCCCCCAAGATCCATAAAGGAAATAGAAAAGATTTTCAAATGAGGGGAAGCGGGAAGGGCAGACACTAGTGTGCAGGTGCAAGGTGCGGCTGCAGAGGAAGGATCCCACCCGGTGTCCTGCGCGGCTCCCAGCCGTGCGTTCCCGGGTTCAGCGGAGGCGGAAGAGGCTTTTAATGTCCTCACCACAAAGAGAAGATAAACGTCTGGGGCTGGACCAGCTGCTCTCCCTGGCTTGCTTATTACACCACGCGCCTGTGTATGGAAACTGCACTGAACTCTACGAATATGGACGATGAGCACGTGACCATTGCCATAAGTCAACGCTGTGCAGGACTGAAAGAGAAGAAAAAGAAGAAGCTGTTCCAGGATCTGCCCCTGAGAACGCACCTGCTCCGGGAGCTTTTGTGGTGAGTGGAGGGAAGAAAAAAGCTGCCTCCAGTCGAAGCTGGGCCGGGAAGCGAAAGTTCAGAAACAAACAGGCAGAGGTACCACATTTGCATATCAAGTCTGGAATCTGTCAGAAGATGGAATCTGTCAGGAGACGCCGCAGCCACCTCCAGTTTGTCCCAGGACACCAGAAGTTCTCTGCGGGGCCCTCTATGTAACAGCAGACCCCTCTTCTCATTTTATGATCCTTGTCACGAACTCCACGTTGTGTGATATTAACACACCCACCCTGCTTTTTTAAAAAGGCTATGTGTGTGCATGCATGTAATTTTACATACGAAGCAAACATGGTAAAATTTGAAAATTGTTAAATCTAAAAGAGTGGAAAATTCATTAATATACTTATTGCATTAACAGATTCACGTAGAGAATGTGTAAGATCCTTTCGATAAATGCCAACACATTGACAGCTGTCATGCAGCCTCCTAACATACATAAAAAGCAAGGATTACAACATGAAGTCTTAGAACTACTCGCGAATCTCAAACAAAGGAAGGCTTGAGCAAGGCATGGAAGCCAGAAGCCACTGAATAAAAGATTTGTTCCTTTTACTCCAGAAACATATGCAGGGCTGAAAGATGGTAAGAATCACTCCAATAACCAAAGCAAGATGTCAGTTATGGGGGAAATTATGGGAGAGTAGGCATATGAGAATTCTACTTGTCACTTTGCGTTTCTGTAAACTTAAAATCTCTCTGTGAAATAGTCCATTAGCTGAAATATACCTTCACATATACAAAACAGTGCAAATGATTAAATACCACAAACAAACCAATAGAAAAATTAGTGAAAGAGACAGTTCACAGCTGAAAAAAAAAAAAAGGTACAAATGGCTTTCCAATAGCTATGCAGACACGCACAATGGAAGCATCGCAAATTCCAACAGAATGGCATTTTCGGACTTCTTGGAAAATGTGAAGTTCGATAATGCAAGGGCATGAGTGAGCAGGTGTGTCTGTACCTGAAGTATTAGTGAGAGTATGAGCGCGGGCACAGCCTCTTTCAGAAAAAATAACAAAGTGAATTTAAAATCCACATCCTCTTTAATTGGACAGGTTTGTTTTCTTGAGCTGGCCACATAGAAGTGCTCATAGCTCAGTGTGAATATTTATCATTAAAGATGTTTATTTCAGACTGTTTGTAATAGGAAAGGGCCTGACAAATGACCCTCAAAGGACTCCAGAAACTGTGTGGCACACCCATGTGATAAAACACCAGGAGCCACGCTCTTAAACAAGGAACTGGGACAGTGAGGGCCCACGCAGAATCACTCCCCAGACACATTTGTAAGTGTCCTCTGTGGGGAAGGAATTGGGGGCGGAGAGAGGGACATGGGGGCGGGGAGGAAGGGGTGGGGGACAGAGAGGGAGAGAGGAACAGGAGAGGGACAGAGAGAGAGGGAGAGAGAGAGGAGAACGGGAGAGGGAGAGAGAGAGGGAGAGAGAGAGGGATTCTACGTGTTCTGTGCCCAGCTACCTGAAGAAGGACACGCACAAAATGTGTCAAGACAGTTATTCAGGGGAGAGAAAATGAAGACAGAATCAGGGAAGTGAGGAAAATCCTTTTTCACTGAATTTTGTCTTCTTTAAAAATGTCCCCATGTACATACATATCAGAAAAATATAGTAGGGGCTTAAGACAAAGCCCCTGGGTAACAGAGTGTGAGCTCATTTGTCTGACACCTGCACCAGCATCTGGATTCCTGGACTACGCCTTTATACCTGCGGATCTGGCCAGTGCACAGAGGACCAGGGGATACAAGTCTTAGAAATGACGTAGAGTTCTCCATTCGCTAATGGTTATTTGCACAGAAATCCAGAAGAGACTCACTGAAAGCTTATTGAAACTTTATTTTTATTAGAATATTTATTTATTTATTAGAAATGTAGCCAGGTGACCACATACATGGGTACTTCCAAAAGGTCATGGGAAATGGAATGAAAAGATAGCCAAGCTCGCCAGTACTTAGAGAAACACCAGGGAAGAGAATAACAGGACACCTTTTTTTGTCCTTTCCTGGCCTTAAGTGTCCAAGAGTGACACAGGAGGGCCAGTCATTAATACTGGAGCGGAACACGCTGCCCAACCCAGCACTAACCAGCTGCCTTTCCAGTGTGCGCCAGAGCCGCACGCAAACACACGCCCGGAGAGGCCGATCGGACTCACTGTACAGCACCAGGCTGGACAGCAAAAAATTAGAAGTGGGTATAGCCTCCACCTGCAGTGTTGACATCCCATATGGGCACTGGTTCAAGTCCCGGCTGCTCCACTTCCAATCCAGCTCTCTGCTATGGCCTGGGAAAACAGTGGAAGATGGCCCAGGTCCTTGGGCCCCTGCACCCACATAGGAGACCTGGAAGAAGCTCCCGGCTCCTGGCTTCCTATCAGCCTAGCTCTGGCTGTTGCAGCCATTTGGGGGAGTGAACCAGTGGGTGGAAGACTTCTTTCTTTGTCTCTCCCTCTTACTGTCTGAAACTCTACCTCTCAAATAAATAAATAAATCTTTTTTAGAAATTAGAAACAAATGCCCCTTAGAAGAAGATGATTTTCTTTAAAAATTTACTTATTTATTTGAAAAACAAAGCAACAAAGAGAGAAGTTGAGAGAGAGAGAGAGAGAGAGAGATTCACTCCCCCAAATGGCCACAATATCCAGGGCAGGCCCAGGCTGAAGCCAGGAGCCAAGATTCCATCAAGGTCTCCCACATGGGTGGCAGGAGCCCAAGCACCCGGACCATCCTCCACCGCCTTCTCAGGCTCATTGGAACACGGCTGGACTAGAAGGGGAGCAGTCAGGACTGGAACCAGCGCTCAGATGTGGAACGCCAGCATTGGGGTGCCAGAGTCACAGGCCGCGGTCTAGCCCACTGCACCACAATCGGTGTAACCCCCACACCACAACGCTGTCCCAGCAGCTAGTCTTTGAAGTAAGATGTATCTGTATCTGGAAATACGATGTAACAGTTTTTTTTTTTAATCAGTCTATTCATTCTGACAATGTAAAACTAAAAGATACATTATTAAACATCAAGAGAAAGTTATAGAATGTTGTTACTGTGTGACATAATTCTTATTCAAAACTTTCTGTATTTATGCACACATACATGACTGTAAACACTGAGAACAAAAACAAGTAGTGAGCGGACAGGATAAGGGTAGGAGATGAGGAACTTTTGCTTTCCTGTATTTGAAACTTCAAAATAAAAATATCTCCATATATGAAATATGAGGTTTTTAAAAGTCCCCCAAAAGCAAATATAGCAATCTTAAAGGTGCATTTACACACATGTGTCATTGCACACATATTTATTTTATAAGGATTTGAGAGATTTTTCGACCTTACTAAAATCATAAAAGTATTTCAGAGATTAAATGGCAGTGCTGGGCCAGGAAGTAAACGCTCTTAGTGCCTGGAGAAATTCCAGTGCTACAAAACCCAGAAGAGTCTTTTGGGAGAATCATGGCTCCAGGAGAACAATATTTTGGTGGACAGCAAACCTTACTTTTGGTTTCTTTCTCAAAATCTTTGGGTAGCTGCGCTCAGGAATAAATCGGCAGGTGCTCCAGACCTCTGCGTAACATCTGGGAAAGCGCCTGAACCACGGGTCCACCCTGGCCTCCTTGTACACGTAGGATATCTGGTTGTTTGAAAAGCCATCGAGACAAGATGGAACGTAGTCGCTCGCCCAAAGATTGAAATTCCTGGAAACATGTTGCCTTTTATCTGGGGAGATCTTCTTCCGTCCCAGGCCCTGGGGAAGAACAGGGAGGAGGTTAGGGGGGAAATGGTCAACATCCCAAGTTCCGAGGTCTTTATGGAAACCAGTGACACGACACGGACATGTTTTAATGCTCCCTTCCAGGATCTCTAGTGACAAGTTGCTGAAGGCTCGAACTTGATGCTCACAGCGTGCTGGGGGCCAGCTCAGAGGCCGAGAGCAGTGAGCACACCAAGGCAGCCACTCCATGCCGACAAATGGCAAACACCACTGAGAAAATAAAACAGCCATGGATTGTATGCAGAAAGATATGGCATTAGGGGCCGGCTCTACCGTGCAGAGGGTCAAGCTGCTGTCTACAGTACCAACATCCCAAATCGGTGCCTGTTCAAGTCCCAGTTGCTCCATTTCCATTCCGGCTCCCTGCTAATGGCCTGGGAAAGCAGCGGAAGATGGTCCAAGTGCTTGGGGCCCTGCACCCACGTGGGAGACTCGGAACAAAATCCTGTCTCCCAGCCAGGAACTCAATCCAGGTCTCATGTGGGTGGCAGGAAGCCAATCACTTTAGCCATCGCCACTGCCCCCCAGTGTCTGCGTCAGCAGGAAGCCAGAGGCAAGAGCAGCAGCCAGGTTCTAATCCGGGTGTTCTGATGTGGGATGTGGACTCAACTGCCAGGCCAGAACCATGACCCCATAACCTTTTTAAAGATTCATGAAACAGTGTTAAAACTATTCGTATAAAAGGACAACAAATCTTTACAATTCAAGAAGTAGAACTCACAGATCACACTCAAAAAAGTTACTCTAGGGAGCTGGCACTGTGGCCTAGCAGGTAAAGCCGCCACCTGCATCGCCGGCATCCCCACTGCTCCAAGTCCCATCCAGCTCCCTGCTAATGACCTGGGAAAAGCAGAGGAGGACAGCTCAAGGGTCTGGGCCCGCCCCCTATGTGGGAGGCCCAGATGAAGCTCCTGGCTCCTGGTTTCAGCCTGGCCCAGCACTTGCTGTTGTAGCCATCCGGGGAATGAAACAGGGGATGGAAGAGCTCTCTCTGTGGGTGTCCCTCCCTCTCTCTGTCACTATGGCTTTTGAAATAAATAGATAACTCTTTAAAAAGAAAAAGAAAGAAAGAGAAAAAGAGAAAGAAAGAAATAAAAGTTACTATAACCCATAAAACTAGATATTAGGACAGATAGATGATCTTTACAACTTCTAACAGTATAGGAAGTTCAAAACATTTTAAACTTTTTGTTTAAAAAAAGGAAATTAAAAATTAAATCATATACTATTTGGAAGCAAATAATAAGACCTTAATTAGAGATACCTTTGGGAAAGAAAACCAATCTGAAGAATATGGTTTTAATGAGTTCATTAACAAAAACAATTGCAAGGATATGAACTAAGCATTCAATTGAAAAAAGAAAAAAAGAGCTAAAGGAAAACAAGATAAAGTATTCTGAGAGATACCATGCCAGTAAATTTGAAAAGAATTAGACAAATTTGGGGCAAACACATATGAGGTAAATCTACCCCCAAAAGAGGCAGAAATTTTATATGGATTAATTGAGAGAGAACTAAGAAAGGTGTACAAAAATGCCTCTAACGTAGACACCAAACCCAGGACATTTCCCGGGAAACGTTATCTAACCTTTGCTAAACTGGAAATACAAGTGTTAGCTCAACTATTGCTGAGCCAGCTTCCCGTGCTTCCTAGGAGACTGCCATGACCCTGGTCAAAGAGGCGTGGCATGGTCCCGCTTGTGTCGCCATCATGATACACATTTACATGTGCGTGTGAGTGGCGGAACTTCTCGGGCGGCACTCACCCGGCCATCCTCAGGAACGACTCGCCAATGTGAGATCGCAAGGACGGAAAACGAGGGTGCGAATCTTATGTTTCATTTTACGTAATTCTGTGTCATTTGAGCCTCTTAAAGGACGTAGGTTACTTTGGTCGCTTAGAAACCAGCACTGCACCTTGCATTTGAGAGACAGGCTGGGCGGACACTGTGGTTCTATATTCAACACTCGTCGGAGGCAAACTGGTTTTCAGGGGGAGCCTCTTTGATTTCGTTACGGCCTTGCAGCCTGTTGGAAAGGGCAGCAGGGGCCAGGTGTTGGATTTTACTAATTCTCAGCTTCCTCTTCTCTGAAGTGGGGGTGATAGGAGCAATTCACCCATGGGTTGTTGTAGGATTAAATGAGATAATAGCACAAAATATTGGCCAAGAGCAAACACTTCCTGATTGATGGGGATTACTGCTATCATCATCATCGTCATAACCACAGACTTCCAGGCTTCCGGATCCTCAGAGCTCTGCTGGTTGCCCCTCACCCCGAGAGAGGCCACCCCAGTAGCTGATTTGCCCAGTTATTGAACACTGGATATAGGGGTCATTCAAATTGAGATGGATATGAGAGTAAAATACAAACTGGATTTTCTTTAAAAAAGTATTTAGGCCGGCGCCGCAGCTCAATAGGCTAATCCTCCGCCTGTGGCTGGCATACTGGGTTCTAGTCCCAGTCAGGGTGCTGGATTCTGTCCCGGTTGCCCCTCTTCCAGGCCATCTCTCTGCTGTGGCCCAGGAGTGCAGTGGAGGATGGCCCAAGTGCTTGGGCCCTGCACCCCATGGGAGACCAGGAGAAGCACCTGGCTCCTGCCTTCTGATCAGCGTGGTGTGCCTGCCGCAGCGTGCCAGCCGCAGCGGCCATTGGAGGGTGAACCAACGGTAAAGGAAGACCTTTCTCCCTGTCTCTCTCTCTCACTGTCCACTCTGCCTGTCCAAAAAAAAAAAAAAAAAGTATTTAAAGAGATTTCTCATCTAGAGTTAGGGCTGGGCAAAGCCAAATTCAGGAGCCAAGAACTCTATCCAAGTCTCCCACACAGGGAGCAGGGACTCAACTACCTGAGCTACCACCTGCTGCTGCCCAGGGTGCAGGTTAGCAGGAAGCTGGAATCCAGGGCACAGCTGGAGCCTGGCCCAGGCGCTGGTATGGGATGCGGTATCCCAGGTGGTATGTTAGCTACTTTGGCGAAAAGCAGACTCCAGACTGAATTTTGAAGATTTAGTTTGGAATGAGGAACGCAAAAGATCTCATTGATAATTTTTATATTGATTACTTGTTGAATTGATAATTTGGGTGACTATTTGATTGCTAGATTAGTTTTACTTAGTGTGGCCACTAGAACATTTTAAATCCCGTTTGCAGCTTGCATTAGGTTCCTGCTGCACAATGCTGTGCATGCTAACGAGAGCCAGCAGAGTTGATATTCTCCAGTGACAGGGAACTTGCCGCCTCCAGACAAAGGCAGTTTTTCAGAATTCCTGTCCTACCTGAAATCCCCCCAGCCTAGCCCTTCCTCCGAGGTCCTGGCTCTGCCATCCAGAGACCCTTCCTCCACAACAGGTCTTCACAAGAAAGCTCACAGAAGAGAAAGTCATAGAAAGGCCCCTGACATCCACGCAAACGCACACGGAGGCTGGGCAGACTTGGAGAGCTGCACAGGACTTCCGGAGCTTGGAGTGCTTTCTCTGGAAACTGTTAGGAGTCTTGTCCCAGACTTCGCTCTGTTTTGACCTTGATCCAGTTTGGGGGTCAGCCCTCTGTCTTCACCCCATCTCAGAAAGCCAAGGCCCTGATGCTGCTCCCCCACCCCCACTTCATTCAGAGAGAAACACTCACGGAGTCAAGGTAGTTTCCGGAATTCTCAAAAATGTGCCGGTTGTCGTGCATGGAGAAGGGGAAGCTGTTGTTTGTTGCTTGCTGGAAGAGATGAAAAGGCTACGTCAGGAGCCCAGAGGAAGCCGCCACACGCAGCCCAGTGCTGGAGCACACAGCGCAGGACGTGACCACGCAGGCGGCTGCGCCAACTGTCTGAAAGTCAGCCGCGCCGCCTTTCAAAATGCCCTGTTTGGAGGCGAGGACGGAGCAGTAAACAGTCTCATAACCCAGATGCCGGAGAGGACTCCTGGGCCGGGTCAGCCTGCTTCTTCATCCGACCAACAGGACCCCAGAAGCCCAAGGCCGGGGCCGCAGGCTCAGCCTGGCAGGTGTGCGGTCAACGCCAGTTTCCCTGGCACACCCCTGGAGGGGCCGGGGAGGGGGCTGCGCATGGTGCCATTTACAGAAGAGTCTGTCCAGGAGCAGCTCCACTGTGCAGAGCTGGGGGCTTGAGCTGGGGACAGCACTGGCCTCCAGGGTCCAGGGCTGGAAGACGAACAGGTCCTGGTGAGGAGAATTGGCTGGAAATGCTGAGAGTGCCACCTGCAGAGTGCAGAGGGGCACGGAACTCGGGCAGAGCCTGGGACTCACCTTCTCCCGGACCTTGTAGATGGGCGGCAGCCTCCCCTCCACCTGCCGAGCCGCCTGGGCACAAAGGGGCTCCTTTAACGTAGCTCGTGTGATGGATTCCGGGGTCTTCTGCATGAGTCCGACGTGAGGGAACTGGAAAACAGCACCGGCCTTGATTAAAACCAGACGCACGTGCGTCTATAAGCCAAGTATCAGGGCTTCCTCCATAAAGGGATTAAAATGCAATTTGGGTGCTTCTGGCATGCAATGGAAATGGCATAATTTTTTGTAATTTTCGAATATTCCTTCCAAGGCAGAAACCCCCGTCATGGCCCAGAGCCACCACGGCCGGTTGTTTCCAGTTACGGGGCCCACCCCCGCAGCCTGGAGCTGGAAACGGTTCAAGGCCTGGGGAGGAAGACAAGGCCATCGGAGAGTGCGTGCGTGGACAGACGGAGACGGCAGAGGTGACGTCTGATGGCTTCCTTCTGCTCAGGGACCTCGGGGTCCAGGCCGAGGATCCAGCCCGGGTCGCAGGGTCAGACTGTGAGTACACAGGGGCAGGGGAGGAGGGGGGCCCACCGGAAAGGAAAGGTGGGGAAAGGGAGAGGCCTAGGAGGGGGAAGGAGAGGGCAGAAAGGTATGGAGGGGGAAAGTGGGACCAAGAGAGATTATTCGGGGGTGTCCTTGGGTTCTCGCTACACAAGGAAAAAGGACTGGGCAGAGCGAGGTAGTCCAGACCAGGGCCTCAGCCCACCCCACAGGCGCTCTGGACATGCGATGGGGCGAGGGAGCCGGCTGTGTGCACACAAACCGATTCGTCATGGGATGGGTGTCTGGGATTCCCCCAGAGAGGCGAGGCTTGGAGGAGCAGCTGTGCTCACCGAGGAGTCCCCTCAGGGGACAGCGAGCAGCCCGGCCTGAGCCCTCCCCTCCAGCAGGGAGCGATGGCTGGCCCTGCATGGCCTCCGCAGCTCACCCCAACTGTATTGAATGGCACCTCTCAAAAGACACCCCAACAAAATGGCCTTGGAAACAGGGATCTCCAGGCATAGACAAGCAAGACAAGGCCTGACTGTCCCTGGGAGAACCTTCCCACAAGGGGACAGGAGAGAGGCATCACACAGTGGTTGGGATCCAAGCTTTCAATTCAGAGCTCCTGAGCCCAGCGCCAGCCTCCTCTCCCACTGGGTGAGCCTCATCTGGAAAGCCTACCTCGGTCTCTTTAGCTGTAAAAGGGAAATGATAACTCTCCCTGATGAGGAAGACCTGATTTGAGGAGAAACCGCAGGCCCCCAGAGAGTGTGCAAAGCTGCTGTTCACAGCCGTCTCCTCCCTCACCCCTAAACCTACGGCCAGGCCTCAGGCCGGTCCCCTTCCTTCTCACTTGGAGTCTTTGACCTTGGCCCGCGTTTCGATCATCTCTCTCTCCATTCCTCCTCCAGCCACAGTGGAGCTGTATACTCAGGTGGCCTTTGAGTAATGTCCTCCTAAGTGGCACTGGCCAGTTACCATGCCTGTGACGAGGTGGGGCGCTCATGCTATACACGTGGGGGCTGGGGGAGGCATTCCCTGTAGCCGGGAGAGTCAGCGGGCTGGAAGCCACATGGCCACGGGTGCATCTTTTCAGTGCAGCGCTGAGTGGGAAAAAGAGGAAGAAAGAGAGTAAGATCTATAGCCCAGTGGTGTTCATGTAAATAAGTAATCCGTGCACATAAAATAATACATAATTTACAGGCACGCATTCAAGTGGCGGCGCTCCCGTTAAAGGCGTTTGAAGGGCTGCCTGGGAACGGGGAGGGTGGAACGGAGCTGGGGGAAGAAAACCTCCAGGCTTTGCGGCGCGGACCCTGCAAGGGCGGCAGGAAGCGGCCCCGGCCTCCAGGGAGGGGGCCTGGACGGAGGAAGACCATCCCCCGCGGCTTTGCGCCATTTGGAGTGTGTTTGCCATGTTGTCTTTTCTTCCACAATAAAAAAAAAATAAGTGTTTGTTTCTTGTTAGAGCTGTAATACATATTCCCGCTTTTAAAAACTCAAACCACAGAGGAAAACTTGGGGAAGGAAGTAAAACTCCCCCAGAGTCTCAGCCCTCTTTCTCCTTAACCCCTGGGTGGCCATCCTCGCTGCACGAATGTGCACCCTGCTGCGTCCGTGTGATTGTGCATGGATAAGATCATTTTTATGAACTGACTTCTAGAAATTTAATAGTAACTCTGGTTGTCTTCTCCCTCCCCTTCTTGTCATCCCCCAACTGCCACCCCAGCTGACAATGTGAGCCACTGGGGCTGACATTGTTGTGTAACGGGCTGAGTGCCGCAGTGCCAGCATCCCACTGGGCACCGGTTCACGTCCCGGCTGCTCCACTTCTAATCCAGCTTCCTGCAAATGCGCCTGGGAAAGCAGTGGAAGATGGCCTAAGTCCTTGGGCCCCTGCACCCACGGGGGAGGCCCAGATGAGGCTCCTGGCTCCTGGCTTTCGGCCTGGCCCAGCCCCTGCCGTTGCAGCCATTTAGGGAGTGAACCAGTGGATGGAAGAGCTCTCTCTCTCTCTCTCTTTCTGTCTCTCCCTCTCACTCTGACTTTCAAATAAAATAAAATAGATCTTTTTAAAAAATGTGAACCACCAAGCCCTTGTGATCAATTTGCATGACTCCTCAGGGCATTCCCAGTACATCACCAGCACTGATCATTCCTCACTTAATGACATACCCTGGGAAGCTGTCAAGGTCTGCCTATATATTTCTAAGCCACTCTGCATTCTATTTTTAAAACGTGTTTAAACGGGGCCAGCATTGTGGTGCAGCAGATTAAACCACCACCTGTCACACCAGCATCCAACATGGGCTGCGGTTGGAGCCCCAGCTGCTGTACTTCTGACCCAGCTCCCTGCTGAGGCTCTTGGCAAAGCGACAGAAGATGGTCCAGCTGCTTTGGCCTCTGCACCCATGCGGGAGACGAGGATGGAGTTCCTGGCTCCTGGCTTCGGCTGGGGAGTGAACTGGCAGATGGAAAATGGATCTCTGTCTCTAATAAAAAATAAAATAAACCTTTAAAATAAGTTTTTAAACACATTTTAGATTTTCTATTTATTAATTTTAATTTTATATGAAAGACAGAGAGAGAGAGAGAGGGAGAGAGAGAGAGAGAGAGATCTTCCATCCAATCCCCCGGTTCCCTCCGCAATTTCCCTCAACAGCCAGGACTGGACCAGGCCAAAGGCAAGAACCAAAACTCGTTCCATGCGGGCGGCAGAGACCAGGCTGCCTGAGCCATCCCTGGTGCCTCTCAGGGTGCACGTGAGCAGGAAGCTGGATCGGAAGCAGAGGACTCTGATGGGGATGGTGTCCGACAGCCTCTGAGCCAAGCACTTACCCCTACACAGTCATGTTTTGAAGGTAAATGTGAACAACACAGGGGGCCCCAGGCTCTACACTTCTCCTTTGCCCTTCTCCCAGTGCCGTTGGGTCAATCCGGCTCCCTGGAGGAGGCAGGCCGGGGTGGGGAGGCGCTCTGACCTCAGGAGAGGTGCTCTCCCCGGCTCGGGGACAACCAGCTTGAGCTCATTTGTATTCTGCCAGTCTATGGGCTAGATTGCTGTAAAAAAAAATGGCTCTAGCATTTTAATTTCACTCCTTTAAAATATATATTTAATGGCTATAACATGATAGCTGTGAAATAAACCCTTCTGTTAGATATTGTAACCGTGAAATATAGCTTTTTAACTAGTTGGCGATGAAATTTTTGCTGCGCTCCATCACTCAGTGACTGAAATATTAAACAGGAAGGTGAAGATGTGTGGGAAAAGCCTTTTTCCCATCTGGCCGCAGCCGGGTCCCAAGCAGCAAGGGTGTAACGACGGGCACTTCTACCAGGTGAAGGTTGTAACGACCGATAGTCTACCGCGTCCTCCCACGCGGCCTCCCCTGACCCAAAGCCAGCGATCTCTTTAATTCCCCAACTCCTCCGCAAGTTACCCTAGGAAACCTCACCAGCAGCACCTATCTGCTTCCAGGTGACGCAGGAGGCTGCAGCCCTAGGCTCGCATCCCGTCTCGGGGACTCTTCCTCTCCACCTAAGCCCCGTGCTGGCCGCATCGCGAAATGCTCATTGTCCTTCCCCTCAGGACAAACCCGACTTCATTTGGAGTGGCAGTGGGGGTGCTTAAAATATACCCCCCCCCGACTCCCTTGCAGCTGAATTGGCCGTGTGGCCCAATGAGACGGAAGCAGATGGGGCTGGGCTCCTGGGGAAGCTTTGTTTGCTCAATGAAAAGGGGTACACGGACCAGACAGGGGTCTTATTCCAGGGAACCCTCGGGGTGGAGGCAGCACCTCCTCTCACGGTCCAGCCTGGGCTGGGGGCACGGCTCTACACTAAGCTTAGCAGAACACAAGGCTGGACTGAGGCTGGACCCCCGATGCCTTCTGTGAGCAGCCATGCCAGTCTCTTGGTTTCTTATCTTAGAAATAAGTTGATTAAGATGCGATAGCTAGCTTTAAAAAATATTTTTTTATTTATTTATTTGAGAGGTAGCAATACAGACAGAGAGAGGAAGAAACAGAGAGAGAGGTCTTTCATCTGCTGTTCACTCCCCAAATGGCCACAACAGCCAGAGCTGAGCCAATCTGAAGCCAGGAGCCAGGAGCTTCCTCCGGGTCTCCCACAAAGGCGCAGGGGCCCAGGCACTTGGGCCATCTTCCACGGCTCAGTCAAATGCAATCGTGACACACAGGTGATAGAAAGACAGGAAGCCACTTGGTCTGAGAAGCTTATGTTTTTCTATTTGCAGACGATTTCCAGTGCGTATCTGACCCTGTTTCCCATTTTACTTTGGCTGCCGGGGAACTCGGACTCAACTCTGATGCCCCTGTATCTACCACGTGGGCCACTGTGGCATACAAGTTTGTGCTCTTCATTTCCCAGTCTTACCCGCTTATTCCAAAGTACATTCCAACTGGCTACGAATTCTTATTTTATGTCTACTTCAGTGTAGACATGTCATTTATTTAGTGTCTATATTTTAGTTTAATTTCCCACCTACTACTTTAAATCTTTGAGTAATGAAAACCTTTGTGTACTAAAAATCTTTGCTTGTGTACGTGTGTTTTAGTTTGTAAGTACTGCACGGGTCCTGTGAGCTCTTGCTTTACTCTGAGCACTTTTGAATGAATGATCTCCTTAATCCCTACCCTGGTACTCTAAACTTGGTACCCCATGTCCCCATTTTACAGGTAAAGAAACTGAGACTTAGAAAGGCTAAGCTATTTAGCTGAGGTTTTGTTAAAGTGAATATATTCAGTTTTTTAAAATCTTCAAATCCAAATTTTCTAAGGTCTTTCTGTGCTTGCTTTACACAATTTTAAAAATATTTTTCGGCCGGCGCCGTGGCTCACTAGGCTAATTCTCCGCCTTGCGGCACCGGCACGCCAGGTTCTAGTCCCAGTCGGGGCGCCGGATTCTGTCCTGGTTGCCCCTCTTCCAGGCCTGCTCTCTGCTATGGCCAGGGAGTGCAGTGGAGAATGGCCCAAGTGCTTGGGGCCCTGCACCCCATGGGAGACCAGGAGAAGTACCTGGCTCCTGCCATCGGATCAGCGCAGTGCACTGGCCGCAGCGCACCGGCCGCGGCAGCCATTGGAGGGTGAACCAACGGCAAAGGAAGACCTTTCTCTCTGTCTCTCTCTCTCACTGTCCACTCTGCCTGTGGAAAAAAAAATATTTCTCATTTACTTATTTGAAGAAGGAGAGGGAGAGGGAGAGAGAGAGAGAGGGAGAGATCCCATCTGCTGGCTCACTCCAAATATTTGCAACAGCCAGGACTGGACGGGGCTAAAGCCTGGAACTGGGCACTCAACCCAGGTCTCCCACATGGGTGGCAGGGACCAAGGACCTGAGCCATCGCCGCTGCCTCCCAGGAGCTCTGTTAACAGGAAGCCGAAGCTAGGAGCTGGAGTGGGACTCAAACCCAGGTAGATTCGCAGGTGGGACCTGAGGGCTTAATCAGCATCTTAACCAGTAGGCCAAACGTCCACTCCCTAGACAAAAATTGTTGCAGTTTTCTGCGTCTTGCTGCCCCAGCACAGGCCACCGGCAGCCTGTCTGCGTTCGCCTCTCGCGCTGAGCGTCAGGGAGGATGCAGGCTACAGTCTGCCCCGGGGGAGTCCCCCTTGACCTTCCTTGTGTGAATGAACTGCGGAAATTCAGGAAGGGAGAGGACTTGTCAGCCTGTGGGATGTGCACGAGAGCAAGCAAAGGGAAGTGCCTGGCCACACAGCCACGCACGCGCGGGGACACACCCTGCCGGGCTTGGAAGGCAACACCCAAAGACAGAGGCGTGGCGAAGAGCCTCGAGCTGGAAAGGGAAAGTTCCTGAAAGACGGAGACGAGCGGGAAGCTTTCTCAGCCGCTGCCCTCCCCAGGCTGCTGGGCAGAGGACGTCAGATTGTGAGGCAGCAGGGATCTGTTTAGGGTTCCTCACGCACTCATTCCTCCAACAGCTACTTACGGAGTGCCTCCTGTGTGCCCCACCCAATTCCGGGCACTGGGAATCCCCCCATGAACAGAAAAGACCAAGAGCCTAGCCCTCCAGCAGGGGAGACGGGGTGCCCACAGCACCCCAGTAACACCAGGCGTCGGCAGAGAAACAAGAGCTAAAGGAGGGCAGGCAGCGACCACCCCGGCCAGCGTCCACATGGCTCCGGTGCGCGGAACACGCCCCTAGCACTGCTTCCTTCCGTCCTCCAGGAATGCAGGGGGTCCCGCCCCACAGAGGAGGCCCTGGAAGGGGTTTGCTCAAGGCCACGCTGCAGAAGCCCGGCAGCAGCATCCGAACTCAGTTCTGTGCCCTCAAGCCTGTGGACCGAAAAGCACCAACAGGCACCATCTTTCTTACCCATCTCCCGTCCTCGTCCAGGGGCGGGTTGAAGCGTCTCCCCTTGGCCATTGTCTCCAGGAAGCCGCAGGGGGCTGGGGTGGGCTCGCTCCCCTCTCCGAGGCGTCAGAAGCTCTACACACCTGGGGAGCCCCTGATCTCCAGGTCTCAGCCCCCACCAGGTGGGGAAGCCAAGTGCCCACTGTGCTGACGGAATGGGAGCGCACATCACAATGGGTGGGGCCTCTTCCAAGTCCTCCTGGGAGTCCATGCATGGTCCCAAGGCATGGGGCAGAGGCCCCTCCATCCCAGCCGAACAAGCCCAGGATCAGGACTGACAGGTGAGAACAAGATTATGTTGAGCAATGACAAACCTTTTTGTACCCTCTAAACCCTTGAACCAGTAATACTGGAGCCGATGTTCCCATGGCAACCATCTGTCCCAACCCCTTTGTTTTCAGAAAAGTAAATTGCATCCCTGGCTGGGGATGACCTTGATCTTGTCCGGGAGCCACACCTCCTACCACCTCCTCACGCGGCAGCTTCTCGGTCCCAGCTCAGACCCCACTGTGGGACTCACAGGTGCTCCCATCTTCCTGGTACTGCACAGAGGCCACAAGGAAGAGACATGCAGAAATCATCATTGTGCGCAGGTGCTGTGCTGAGCACTTCCACGTGTTTTTCTCTTACAGGTTCTCCATGACAACCTGCAACAAGGACAAACGAGGAAGCAAGGATCCCACGGCCGACGGGTGGGGCACCAGCACTGAAGCCAAGGTCGTGGGACGACTCCAGACTCCCGAGTCTTTCCCAGGGCCACCTGGCCTCCCCGAGGCTGCTCCTGGAATCTGGCCTCTCTCCCCGAGCCTGGACGCCGGTCCTGCCTCACTTCTGCTCACTAATGCACTCTCTGCCTCCTCCTCCTTTTAGATGCACTGGCTCAACCATGCCCTTGGCGATTCCCTATAAAGATAAGAGCACATTTCTACAGGATCTGTCTGACTCTCTTTTGCTAACAAATTGTGTCTTCAACCCCATCATCTCCCACTCAGCTCCTTGGATGTTCTAGCCAGAGTTGCTATGGTAATGATATGGCCCTTCTCCGGTCCCCAGAAAGAGGCTCCTGGACGTGATGCTAGAAGTACATCCTCTTGGGCCGGTGCCGCGGCTCACTAGGCTAATCCTCCGCCTTGCGGCACTGGCACACCGGGTTCTAGTCCCGGTTGCCCCTCTTCCAGGCCAGCTCTCTGCTGTGGCCCGGGAGTGCAGTGGAGGATGGCCCAAGACCTTGGGCCCTGCACCCCATGGGAGACCAGGAGAAGCACCTGGCTCCTGCCATCGGATCAGTGCGGTGCGCGGGCCACGGCGGCCATTGGAGGGTGAGCCAACGGCAAAGGAAGACCTTTCTCTCTGTCTCTCTCTCTCTCACTGTCCACTCTGCCTTTCAAAAAAAAAAAAAAAAAAGAAGTACATCCTCTTGCAGCTGTGATGTCAAACGCCACAGAGGGGGTTGGCGCTGTGGCGCAGTAGGTTAAAGCCCTGGCCTGCAGCGCTGGCATCCCATATGGGCGCTGGTTCGAGATCCAGCTGCTCTACTTCAGATCCAGCTCTCTGCTATGACCTGGGAAAGCAGTAGAGGATGGCCTAAGTCCTTGGGCCCCTGCACCCACGTGGGAGACCAGGAAGAAGCACCTGGCTCCTGGCTTTGGATCAGCACAGCTCCGGCCTTTGCGGCCATTTGGGGCGTGGACCATCTGATGGAAGACCTCTCTCTCTGCCTCTCCTCTCTCTGTGTAACTCTGACTTTCAAATAAATAAATAAATCTTAAAAAAAAAAAAAAGCCACATGGTGGGGCTGACACTGTGGCATAGTGGGTTAAGCTGCCACCTGAAGCGCCAGCATCCCACATGGGTGTTGGTTCGAATCCTAGCTGCTCCACTTCCTGCTAATATGCCTGGGAAAGCAGTGGAGGATGGCCCAAGTCCCTGGACCCTTGTACCCACATGGGAGACTCAGAAGAAGCTGCTGACTCCTGACTTCAACCTGGTTCCAGGGAGTGAAACAGCAGTTTTTCAAATAAATAAAATAGATGTTTGTTTTGTTTTGTTTTAAGCCACATGGTGATGAGGGAGGAGGGAGGATGGCAGCAGCCCATCTCGGTGCTGGGGAGCCACTATGCCAGCTCTCGACAAGCAATCTATTATGTGAGTAATAAACCCTCCTAGGGTGGCTTCTACCTGCTGATAGACTTAGTGCACCTGACACAGTGTCTCTTCAGTTTTACCAGGTATTTCTGTCTGTTCTCCAATTCTGCAGCACAGATGGGTACTCCTGCCAGCCTCCCAAGAGCCCTGTTGTGCCACAGTCTTGCCAAGATTTGGTATATGAACTGGGATCAAGTTTGGCTGGGATAGCCCAAATACCAGGGCTAAGGGGCAGGCATTTGGTGCAGTGGTTCACAGTTTGGGATGCCCACATCGTTATCTGAGCTCCTGCACTGGAGTCCCAATTCCAGCTTCCTGCTAGTGTGCACCGTGGGTGGCATCCGCGATGGCCCACGTAGTTGGGTCCCTGCCACCCATGCAGGAGACCTGGAGGTCCCGGCTCTCGATTTCCACCTGGCACCTGCCGCTGCTGCAGGCATTTGGGAGTGAACCAGCAGATGGCAAGACAGTCCTCTGTCTTGCTCTCCCTCTCTCTGTCTCTCTTCCACTAGAATAAATTTTTTTAAAAAATTAAAGCCTAGGATTGGTAGTCCTCTATTCTTTCTGTGGAAAGCAAGTGCCATGGGGGTGGTGCAGGCTCCCCCGGTGTCTCTGCTGTACAGGACCCTCAGAGAGGAGGCTCCCCCAACATGTCAACATGCTGCCAGCCCCCGGGTACCCAGACGTGGTGCCCTGCAGTCCAGGTAGCAGGGGCGGGGCAAGGGCGGGGCCTGATGCGTTCTGCTGGACCAATCCCGGCACGCTCTTGTCATTGGCACAGCAGATGCCACCCAGCGCCTCCTCTCCTGGGCCACAGCTTAAGCCGCGTGACCAGGCCTTGCTGCAGTGGCGGCTGCGAACCAGGTCACTGTGGAAGTCCCAGCTGGAAGTTCCTCCTCCGGGAGAGAGACAGGCGCGCACAGCACAGAGCCCCTGCCGCCCTGAGGGCTGCTCTCGGATCTGTCACCAGAGCCTCGCTGGGCTCTGACCGGGATGAGCCGCGCTTCACTCCGGCAGCCAGCCGAGGTGGCCCGGGGACCAGACGAGAACGGAGCGCTCCGCCCACTCCGCGGCGGCACAGACCCCGAGCAAACGCGTGCGGAAGCACACCAGTGCTTGCTGGGCGCCCTTGCACCGCTGCCGCACAGAATGCCACGGCTCCGTGGACGTGTGCTGGGGGTCTGCCCTCCCCCCACCCTTCTCCACTCTGCCCCCACCCCGTGCTGCACCCTGCAGTCTGAGCCGTGAGACCGCGTCCCCTCTTCTCTTGCCCTGTGGCTCTGCTTGGACTTAACCAGTGGGAAGGGGAAGAACAGGGCACAGGTCAAGGCAGCAGTGCCCTGGCCGGCGGTCAGCAGCCAGCTCTCCAGGACAAACACAGCCTGATCCGTGATGCTCATCGGTCCCACGGTAAAAATACCTGCACACGGGGGCTTCAGGCGTCACCGACGTGGAGCTGGTCGGAGACGCACACGTAGGCTCCCCTAGTCGACCACTGGGTCAAAGCACTGCTCTCCTAGGCTCTGTCCCTCTGAGACCATTGTTTAGAGGGGGCCGTGTTCCACCCCCAACATCCCCACCTCCTACTAGAGCCCCTCCCCCGCAGCGTGCCTCTCACTGACGGTTCCCTCTCTCGGCCCATAATGGACAAGGCTTCCTGCTCCTGTGGCCCCCGGGAGCTGCCCCTCCCTCTGCAGATCCTGGACCCTTCCGGAAACTGTTCCAGAGTGTGCCATCAGTTCACAGCAGCACGTGTTAGCAGTTATCTCCACTTACAGATGAGGAAACAGACATGAGATCCACAAACAGCAGAGCCCACACTGGAACCCGGATGTACCCAGGCCAAGTTCAATGCCAGCATCAAACCTGGTTCATTTTATTACACACCCCAACCTTGAGACACTGCCAGGTAGTGCTGTTACAAGAGGGTTTCTTTTCATGCTTTCTCTGTGATCTGCAGCAAACAGGGCCTGTGAGTGCCTTAGCCACACCTCTTCTCTAAGGTGGGCCCTGGTAGGCCGGGAACCAGGGGCTGTCATTCCATGCCGATCCGTGGCCTTCCCCGTGGGAGCGCAGCAGGACCACGCCGCCAGGTGTCAGTGACGGGCCGGTGCAGGATGCTGCTTCTGCATCTGAGACAGGCTTGGAAAGGACAGAGGATGCCAAAGACTTAGCATTTAGGAGCCTGAATTCAGCGCCGCCTCCAGCACAGCTGGTCGTGTGCATTCACTTGGTCACCGCCACCGGAACTGAAGCCGCATCTTAAATGACATTTTGTGGGGCTGGCCTTCTGGCACAGCGGTTAAGCCACTGCCTGGGTCACCAGCCGTTTGGGGAATGGACCAACGGATGGAAGATCTCTGTCCCTCCCTCCCTCTCTGTTGCTCTGCCTTTCAAATGGATGATGAATGAAGGAATCTTTTTAAAAAGACACTCGCACCTCTTCCGCATGTGCTCTCAGGTTCTGTAAAACAAGGATTACGAACACGGATTAAGGCGTGGTCCAATCTTCCCCTTTGAATAATGGTTAAAATCTCTTACCAAAATTGTCTAAGAAAATCAAAGCTGGGACCGGTATCGTGGCATAATGGGTGAAGCCACAACCTGCAACGTCAGCATCCCCTGTGGTGCCAGTTCCGGCTGCTCCGCTTCCAATCCAGCTCCCTGCTAACGGCCTGGGAAAGCAGCAGCAGGTGGCTCAACTAGTTGGGGCCCTGCACCCACGTGGGAGACAGGGAGGAAGTCCCTGCCTCCTGGCTGCAGCCTGGCCCAGCCCCAACTGTTAGGAGCATCTGGGGAGTGAGCCAGGAAATGGAAGATCTCTCTCCCTCTCTCTCTCTCTCTCTCTCTCTCTCTAACTCTGACTTTCAAATAAATAAATAAATAAATCATTAAAAAAAGAAGGAAAGGGAGGGAAGGGGAGTGGGAGGGAAGATGGGAGGGAGGGAGGGAGGGAAGAACAAAAAAAACCTGGCCGTGAGGAATGGCACTGATATTCAGCTAGCACGCCTTGGCAGCAGGCTGGGGTAGGGCTGCTCATCGCTGACGATGCTGGGGTTTGAGTTACAGGACTGCAGTTTGTTCTTCACCATCTTGAAAACAAGTCCTGCAGCCCTCGGGGACTCACGCCTCTGTGGACTCACACCTCTGTGGTCTCACACCTCTGTGGACTCTCACCTCTGAGGGGACACCCACCTCTGAGGGGACACCCACCTCTGTGGACTCACACCTCTGTGGACTCACACCTCTGAGGGGACACCCACCTCTGAGGGGACACCCACCTCTGTGGACTCACACCTCTATGGACTCACACCTCTGTGGACTCTCACCTCTGTTGGACTCACACATCTGAGGGGACTCACACCTCTGAGGGGACACCCACCTCTGAGGGGACACCCACCTCTGTGGACTCACACCTCTGTGGACTCTCACCTCTGTTGGACTCACACCTCTGAGGGGACACCCACCTCTGAGGGGACACCCACCTCTGTGGACTCTCACCTCTGTTGATTCACACCTCTGTGGACTCTCACCTCTGTGGTACTCACACCTCTGAGGGGACTCACACCTCTGTGGACTCACACCTCTGTGGTCTCTCACCTCTGTGGACTCACACCTCTGTGAACTCTCATCTCTGTTGGACTCACACCTCTGAGGGGACTCACACCTCTGTGGACTCACACCTCTGTGGTACTCACACCTTTGTGGTACTTACACCTCTGAGGGGACACCCACCTCTGTGGACTCACACCTCTGTGGACTCACACCTCTGTGGACTCACACCTCTGTGAACTCTCATCTCTGTTGGACTCACACCTCTGTGGACTCACACCTCTGAGGGGACACCCACCTCTGTGGACTCACACCTCTGTGGTACTCACACCTCTGTGGTACTCACACCTCTGAGGGGACTCACACCTCTGTGGACTCACACCTCTGTGGACTCTCACCTCTGTGGTACTCACACCTCTGAGGGGACTCACACCTCTGTGGACTCACACCTCTGTGGTACTCACACCTCTGTGGTCTCACACCTCTGTGGTACTCACACCTCTGAGGGGACTCACACCTCTGTGGACTCACACCTCTGAGGGGACTCACACCTCTGTGGACTCACACCTCTGTGGACTCGCACCTCTCGGACTGAGGACACCCGAGGATGCCGCGCAGTCTTGTTTGGGTCCTTTGCCCTTGTTGGTCCCTGCCCAGAATGTAGTGCACAAATTAGCTTGTGAGGGCAGTGTGCAAGGCCAATACCGACCTCACAGCAGAGTTTAATCATTTACTCACCAAACATTGCCACCCATCTGCCACATGCCAGTGCTGGCTTTATTTTTTAAAAATTGTTATTTGAAAGGCAGAGACAAGGACAGAGAGAGGTACTCCATCCCCTGGTTCACTTCTCCAAAATGTCCACAACAGCTGAGGTTAGGGGTTTCCCACGTGGGAGGCAGGGACCCACATGCTTGAGCCACCACCTGCTGTCTCGTAGGGTGTCCATTAGCAGAGAGCTGGATGGGAAGCGGAGCAGCTGGGACTGGAACCAGGCACTCTGGTGTGGGGCACGGGCATCCCACGTGGCGTCGTGGCGTCTCAACCACTGGCGCCAAAGCTAAGGCAATCAGCCCAAATCAGTGCTTTCTAAATAGGAAATCGTGAATTTAGAAATACTTCTAATGACCAGTACCGCAAATCTTTGACCACAAATTATTTTCATTGAGCTATCTACAACACATATTAACAAGTTGTCTCACCTAATATACGTTTTAACACAATAGCTTTTGTGTACTTAGAATGTTAGGTATTTCACTCCAGAGTGTTAAGGACTTCGTGGAAGGCACACGTGCCCGTCTCTTCCACGCATTTCCAGTACACGATGCCACTCCTTGTTTTAATTCATCCACTGTCCCTTGCAGGAGAGAGAGTGGCAGAACTGCAGGTGCTACACAGGGAAGTTTACACCAGTGTCTGCGCTCCTCCACCCTGACAGTGCACCCATGGGTGCTGCACCCTCAGGCTCCCGGTGCAGGACCTGAGTCCTTCCACCAAATGAAAGTTCCCTCATGTTCATGCCCTCAAATCCTGGACAACTAAACATGCACTTAGGAAAAGCCGATCCACTTGCATGTAAAACACTGACCCTCTGAGCAATCCCCAGGCGTCTGAACCACAAAGCACGTTTATATTTCGCCCGACAAGGGCAAGTCTGGATTCTTTCTGCAAATAGCCAGCAGCTCAAGGTGACTCCACTGCTCTCTTTCATTGCCACGTGTGAGTCACGTGGAAGCCTGATGCTGTGCGGATGAGCTGCACGTTTGTATGCCATTGTGAACAGCACTCAGGTGTCTGTCACATCATGCTCATTGTTGTTTGACCCGGTGTTGCAAACTATCTGGAAAATCAACTTCTCTCTCTCTCTCTCTCTCTCATCCTCAAGAACAATAATTCGGGGCCAGTGTTGGGGTGCAGTGGGTTAAGGTGCCGCTCACAATGCCAGCATCCCATAACAAAGCACAGGTTCGAGTCCCTGCTGCTCTGCTTCCAATCCTGCTCCCTGCTAATGCACCTGGGAAATCAGCGGAAGATGGCCCAAGTGCTTGAGCCCCTGCACCCATGTGGGAGACCAGGATGGAGTTCCAAGGTCCTGGGTTCAGCCTGGCCAAGATCTGGCCATTTTGGTCATTTGGGGTTGAACCAATGGATAGAAGATCGATCTCTCTCTCTCTCGCAAATAAATAAAAATAATTTTTTTAAAAACCTCCCTGGATGAAGACAATTAAGACTAATAGAAAGACAAGAAGAGCAAGTTGACCAAGTAGAAATGTGTTCAAACTCAAGTTACAAACCACTCTGACATTTCTTTTTTTTTTTTTTTTTATAGATTTTACTTATTTATTTGAGAGATAGAGTTACAGACAGTGAGAGGGAAAGACAGAGAGAAAAGTCTTCCATCCACTGGTTCACTCCCCCAAATGGCTGCAATGGCTGGAGCTGTGCTAATCCAAAGCCAGGAGCCAGGAGCTTCTTCCAGGTCTCCCACGCAGGTGCAGGGGCCCAAGCACCTGGGCCATCTTCTACTGCTTTCCCAAGCCATAGCAGAGAGCTAGATCAGAAGTGGAGCAGCCGGGACTCGAACCAGCACCCATATGGGATGCCTGCACTGTAGGCAGAGGCTTAACCTCTGCGCCACAGTGCCAGCCCCCACTCTGACATCTCTAAGCCACTGGTGACTCTGCCAACCCACATGACACCCCAGATTCAAACTCCCTAAGACACTGTCATTGTAATGACTGAATTGTTTGTGTCTTTGCTGAAACACAAGTTACCACTAACTTTTCAACTCATTTCTAGGAAACCTTTGGATAAATTGATAATTTGGAGAATTGGCTGCTCAAAGTGCCGTGACCCAGCAAAGTGGCAGAATACAGCAACAGCCACAGCCAGATGGCCACTGTCCCATGAAGCCCACTGTCCGTGGGGGCCAAGCCTTACCACATTAGGAAACGAGAGGCCTGGGGTGCTCCAGTTGCGTGTGGCAGGGAGGCCTACATGGATCCGAAAAGTGATGAAGAAATGAAGAAGAGAGATTCCCGGCAGGGGGACCGCCTGTCAGAGGCTGATGTTGGGAGGAGAACCCAAAGGAGGCTGGGGGTGGGGGAGCTTCCATGCCAGAGAGGAGGGTGCAGCTGGAGCAGGGGCTGGGGGGAGAGCGCAGGGAGGCGGGCGGCGCAGGCGGTGCGGGCAGCTGCGGACCTCCTTCTGCGACCCTGACCGGCCAGTCAATGTCAGGGGGCGGCAGAGACATGGGAGCAGACAACAGCAGCAAACGTCACCAGTGGAGAGCTTCGGCCATTTGCCCAACAGCTCCTTAGCAGTAAGATGTCCGAAAATGCAGCCAGGGGGGTCATGCTTATTTGCTCTTTCTCTAAATTCTGCAAAGACAGGTGGAAATACTTGGAGTCCTCCGCACGTGACTGTCTGCGTGTCTGGGATTGTTCTCATCTGCAGAGACACGACTGCCCCTGGCCTCTCACACGGCTTCATTGGCACAGCCCTGGAAAACACAGCACAAGGCAGCAGTAGTCATAGGTGGGCTGCCAAACAGAGGGTGCCCACGTGCGAGACCCAGCATGCAGAATCGCGAAGCACAAGATAAATGCCCCTCTTCCTGGCAAAGAGAAAATGCACAGTGACCTGGGACACGCCAAAGAGTCCATCTCCACCCCGCACGGAGAGAGAGGGGGCAGGGAGACAGGCTCCCAAAACGAAGACGAGATCGGTCTGCTGGTTAAAACCTTCTCTTATCCTCTTATTTTGAGCTATAAAACATAATGGAGATTTCATCAAGTTGGCAGGAGACGGCAAGCTAATAAAAGAGCCCTGTTACCAAGATAATAAGAAGACAAAGTCGTAAAAGACAGACTTGGGCCGGGCTCTGGCTCTGGGCCTCCCTTTCTCCAGCTCTGCGGGGACCCGGGGTTCATTGACTCGGTTAATCGTGTGGCTGAGCGCGCTTTTGTCCTTCCTCGCCCTTGCTCTTTCTGCACGTTCCAGGGCACTCCGGCCCCTGGGGTTTGTCTTGAAAAGGCGGAAGAAGCACACAGGGCGTCAGGGCTGACCGCGTTGGCTTCCACCCTCGGGTCACCTGCTTATTCGGTCCAGTGAAGAGCAGGCCCGGCAGGGAAGCCGGCCTAGACAGGCCGCTTGGCTCAGGGGACAACTGTCTTGTTCTCCGCCTCCTCTCCGGCTCCTCTCCAGCTGCCAGTGAATCTTGTCACCGAAACGTCACCTGCCTCATTTTTTTTTGTCCCGTCCCAGCCCCATGTGAGTTGGCTGTGAGGGTGGGAGCCCCCCTCCCACTAAGACCTCACTACTTCCACCTTGTCCAGCCACACCTTCCAGAAATGCAGGCTCCTAGGACTCTCTCCAGACCTGCTCAACCCAAATCGGCGTTTCAGCCGCATTCCTGGGCGATCTGTGTGCGCAGGAGCGTTTGAGGAGCCTGCGTTCGAGATGCCTGAGGCACACCTCTGCTGCCTGCACCCCCACGCCCTCCGTTCTCAGGAAAGGGCAGTGGACGGAGGGCGCCACCCGGTCACGATGAGTGCAGAAGCCTTAACCTCTGACCTCTGATTGGACAGTGGTCCCTGTACCGCCAGGGCTCACGGCTGCACAAGCCAAAGTCAGGCTCAGAGAGTAAGTGGGTTTGCACTCTGGGATGCAGAAGGGCTTCTCTCTGGAGCATGGACGTTTCTAGACGGCGCCACGCCCACCCTCGGGTGTGGATAATGCTACCCTGGAGCGGATGCCTCGGCACCGGCTGCTGCTTTGCACAGCTACGTCAGTGCGCACAGTGTGCTTGTCTCCAGCTTTAACACCGATCGCTGTGGTGCAGGCAAATAAGCGCAGACGCAATGCATGGCTTTGCCACGCCACGGTCCAGTTGTCTTGACTGCTCCAGAATGACCGCATAAGGGCTGTGCGCCTAATTAAGCACTTAGTCAATAACCCACTCCCTCCGGACTCCGTCATTTGCTTTATCCACGGCGGGAATGAGATCATGCTGGGCAGTGAATGTGGGTAATTCATGCAGGAAGAACTCACTTACGGTGAGGGTGGATTGATTGGAATTAGTTATTTCAGACAACAGGGAGAAAGTGCTTTTCTCCTAAGGCGACTCCGGTATTGTTTTACCAACAGCAAGGTGAGGTCTGGGTACAGTCGGCAGGAGTGTGTGTGTGTGTGTGTGTGTGTGCGCGTGAGAGAGAGAGAGAGAGAAAAACGGGGGGTGCACTGAGGGCCCACGTCCCAGTGCAGGGGTGTTTGCCTCATGGTGCTGGGCTCTGCGATTTGGGGACAGGCTGTGCCTTTGGAATGCACACAGCTCACAGCTGTATGATTTTTTAAAAGTAATTGGATGCATCTAATTGTTCTGCGGCAAGATAAGAACCCTCTGTTTTATCTGAAGCCACAAGACAGCTTATTGACTGCACTGTCCCCCGGCTCGAGCACATAATAGCGTTGTTAGGGGAGATGTCAGCGGAGGCACTGAAGGGTGGAAAAACACGACATCACATTTCTCACATGACAATGGCCCGAGTATCTGCCCGGCTTCTGCCTCCACGGACTGCGGCTGAGGGTTCTGCTCGGGCTGATTCGATCCACCACCACACAGAGTGTATCCAGGCAGCCTAACCAGCAGCTACATTTTAACAAGTCCTCTGCCCTTCCCCGCCCAGAAGGGTCTGGACGCCCCCCTCACCTCCCCACTGCCCCCCTACCCTCTCCACTGCCCCCCTACCCTCCGCCCACCTCTCCGCAGAGAAATCCTTCCCGGAGCAGCACGAGCACCTAACACTTCCTCAACCATCTGCTAGGGTAGACACATCCGTGAGACATCTTCCGTCGCTGGCATAATTAAAAGACTCTCTCCTGTCGAATGTTGTATTCCATTTACATCCAAAGTTATTTTGCTCTCTCTCTGCCCTTGCCCTCAAGGAATTGTGGGAATTCGAGTTAATAGGCTTTTAATGGTTCTGTGATAACTGTGATTATAAACTGTGAATCAGATGGGGGGTGGGGGGAAGCATCCAAGTTCAGCTGAATCTCATACAAAGACGCCACCGTTGCTTTTGATCTTTGATGGGGATTTGGTTTCCTGTGTTCAGACACCACCCTCCATTAAAAAAAAAAAAGCCACCTCATTTGCTTTGCAATTGCTTTGATAACAATTTTAAAGCCTTTAACTACACATTCCCCTTTTGATATGTTAGCGGTATTTAGAAACACATCCTGTTGCTAAAAATTAAATTTCAAAGTCTCCGATTGTATTTCCTGCTTCCTTTTTAGAGGGGAAGATGCTGGTTTATTTAAAACACATGCAACATGTTGGACACACACACACCCCGCCTTCAACCTTTCCCTGCCAAATATTTAGAAATAAATTTTTACTGTGCTCTCTGAACATATAATTACGGCTTTGAGGCTAGTTAATGAAAATATACTTTTCTTTGAAACATGTTGGCTCCGCTAAACGAGCCTGTCCTTGTGGGCCCGCAGATGAATCGACCGGGAGCCTCCTTCGAGAAAGAGGTGCTAGGGTCCTTGCTGCCAGATGTCTCCCGAAAGCCTGCCGCGCTGGGGCTGCCAGCACAGCCTTGACACGGGTGGCACGCAACTGCGCCAGCAGCCAATTAGGGCCCCTCCAGCAAGTCAGCTCTCCTTCCCATTGGCCAAAGCTGCTGCCACTTCTGCATGACTGACCCTGGGACAATCCCGCCAGCAACTCCTACTTTGGTGACTTGCTACTGGCATCGAAAAAGGCCACGAAGACTGGTCAGCTTTTAAAACTGCCTTGCTGAACCACCACCTCGGCTCCCTTCCCTGTAGCCCAGAGATCAGGCCATTGTCCGGGTAGTTCCGAATCGTTTCCAACGCCCAGGCCACTAGGCAGGTCTTGCTACAGGTCCTTCTTGGGAAAGCCCCGAGAATGAGGGCAGACAGAGGCTGCAGCGGACACAGCCCTACTCAGCAGGTGTCAAGTGGGAGACGGCGTTCACCTTGCCTTTAGGAGAGGTTAGAGCAAGGGCAGCAGGAAGGAAGCCTGAAACCTGAGCTCGTCCATCAGAACAGAGTCTGTGGTAGCCGAAGTCCCTTCTGCGAGATCAGCTCCTGACGACAGATGCTCCCGGAGTGGCAGAGCCCATGAGACACTCACTGCCCAGTGCTGCTGCCGGGACAGGCCGTGGGACCAGGAATCAAGAATTTACTACTGGCCGGCGCCGTGGCTCACTAGGCTAACCCTCCGTCTTGCGGCGCCGGCACACTGGGTTCTAGTCCCAGTCGGGGCGCTGGATTCTTTCCCAGTTTCCCCTCTTCCAGGCCAGCTCTCTGCTGTGGCCCGGGAGTGCAGTGGAGGATGGCCCAAGTACTTGGGCCCTGCATCTCATGGGAGACCAGGAGAAGCACCTGGCTCCTGCCATCGGATCAGCACGGTGCGCTGGCCGTGGCAGCCATTGGAGGGTGAACCAAGGGCAAAGGAAGACCTTTCTCTCTGTTTCTCTCTCTCACTGTCCACTCTGCCTGTCAAAATAAATAAATAAATAAATAATAATAAAAAGAAGTTACTACTGCCAGCAAAGAGTAAACTCCCAAAACGCTTGAAAAATACCCCCATTTAGTGTTTCAAAGTCGTTACCCCAGAAAATACCCAAATCATGGCACAAAAGATTACGCCTAGGTAATGGGACATTCCAACGGCTCATGCAAAACACATATTGTGGAAAGCTATATGTTAATTTAAAATATGTTGCACCAAAATAATCTTTTAATTCCATGTCTTACAATTTTACATTTTTAAGAAACTTGTTTGAGAGACACACAGAGAAAAACAAAGAGACAGAGATACCTAGATAGAGAGCAGGGGCTTCCACCCTCCGGTTCATTCCTTGAATGTTTGCAACTAGGGCTGGGGCTGAGCCAGGATCAGAGCTGGGAGCCAGGAGCACAGTTCGGGTCTTCCATGTGAGTGACCAAAAACCAGGCACTGGAGCCATCACACTGCCTCCCAGGGTCTGCACTAGCAGGAAGCTGGGGTCAGGGATCAAACTCAGGCCCTCCGAGGTAGGACATGGGCATCCTAACTGCTAGGCCAAGTGCCCACACCCCTCCTTGAACTTTATGAATCACTCTTATTTTCTTATTACAATGTGAGAATATTAGCAGGGAGCTGGATCAGAAGTGGAGCATCCGGGACTTGAACCGGCACCCATATGGGATGCCAGTGTCGCAGAATAAATAAATATTTGAAAGGTAGAGTTACAGAGAAAGGGAGAGATAGAGAGATCTTAGCCAGGAGCCTCGAACTCCATCTGGTTCCCCGCACATGGGTGGCAAGGACCCAAGCGCTTGGGCTACCTTCTGTTGTTTTCCCAGGCAGGGAGCTGGACTTGGAAGTGGAGCAGCTGGGGCTCGAACCGGGGGTCACATAGGATGCTGGGCATCACAGGTGAGAGTTTAGCCTGCTGCGCTACAACACCGCAGGCCCTGCTGAAATGTCTTTATAGGTTCCTCTAAACACAGTCCGGAAACTTTCAGATCTTCCACCCTCGGGATTCAGATCCCGAAAGAGCGAGGGGAGTCCATTTGGGATATGGATCTGCTCTCCATTAACGGGAAGGCTGCATGATTTCTTTGGTGTGCAGTGCTCGCTGGTACAGGAAAAGACCCCGACCGGTTCTTCCCTAGGGGTTAGAGCCCAGTGATCAAGACCAGGCTCCGCTCGCGGGAACCAGGTGCTGATTTAGAGGGACAGTCGTGGGGACGTGGTGCCTGCAGCCTGGGTGCTTGCTCCTCCAGGAGACGCCAGCGCCTCCTTCCAGCTACGCCCTCTCCCTTCTCCCCACGTGGCCATGCCAGACGGCCGAGGTGGAGCCGGCTCTGCCCTTTTTTCCCACACTGTCCCATCGTGAGAACACGGCCTGAATCAGAGCAGATCAAACCCCGTTACTGGGAAGAAACTTGATCTTCTCTGGCAGAATCTGGAACCACACGGGCTGGCATTTCTGGCGCCACCTTCCCACCCCCACGCCTCGAGAGCACAGCCCACTCGCAGAGGAGACCCGCTGTGGGCAGCGGGGAACTCGGGGCTTGGTGCCATGGGCTGAAGCAGTGCGGAAGGCTGGTGACCCTCCTGGACTTGGCCACATGTGGGCCTGTAGCATCCTTCCTGCTCATGGAAGGGCAAGAGTTGAGGGCGAGGCGGGGAGGGAAGAGGAGGGCAGGAGAAAGAAAGAGGTGGGATTTCTGGCGGGAGGAAGGAAAGACACACTCTGCTCCCTCTTGGGTTGGAGAGCCCCACCAGGGCTGTGGCTGGAGCCTTCAAGGCTGGAACCACTTCCCCAAGCCCACGATGTTTCCGATCGGGCCCCTGCATGGCTGCCTTTGCTGGGCGGGTCTCAGTCCCCTGCCACTCTTATCTTCTGCAAGGCAGGGTTAGCATGCCTGTAGAAAGCCAAACCCCAGGGGAGGCTGGAGAGAGGGAGGGAGAAATTCCAGCTCTCTGGTCCCTGTGGAGCCTCCCTGTACCCAACTCTCCCTGCCTCCTCACCCCAAATCACCAACAGCTCCTCCCTGGAAGACTTTTGAGGCCTCCAGGACAGCCCTATTGCTCATCCCGTAATTTCAGTTTCCCTCCAGGTGACACAGACAGCCCGGACGCTCACCTCCAGGATCGAGGGGACCCCGGCTGTGGTTTCCTCTTATCAACAAGATGCACTCATCTGTGAGCCTGGAGCCCAGTGTCTCCCAAAAACCCGGCAAGAGAATTTTAGGGGCTGGTGCCATGGCATAGCAGGTAAAGCCGCCACTTGCGACACTGGTACCCTGTATGGGTGCCGGTTTGAGTCCCGGGTGCTCTGCTTCTGATCCAGCTCCCTGCTAATGGCTTGGGAAAAGCAGCAGAGGTAGCCCAAGTACTTGGGCCTCTGCTACCCAAGTGGGAGACCCAGAAGAAGCTCTTGGCTCCTGCAGCCATCTGGAAAATCAACCAGCAGATGGAAGACCTCTCTCTATCTCTCTCTCCCTCTCTCTCTCTCCCTCTCTCTCTCTCTCTCTCTAGCAACCCCTCTTCCCTGAACAGAGTTGATGAGGTTCACATGCCGTGTATTCCTTTATTAACATCAATGCCATTAGCATAAAGATGTAATTTTTGTTACAAGTGCGCCTTTTCATCCTGCGTCTTTGCTGACCATGTTTTCAGAATTTTCATACACTTGAATTCTTCATCCCGAAAAAATGTTGCCAACCTCTGCTCTAACCCAATCTCCAGTGGAGTCAGACGATCCCAACAGGCAGATCCAGAGTAGCCAGCGGTCTGTTCTCGGAGTCGTACTTGGAAGCCAGCTGGAGGTTGATGCCTGCCTCTGTCTGGACTTGAGGCGGGTGCGGCCTCAAGTCCCCTCCCTGGGGAGGCCCCTGGGGCCAGGGCTGTCCCGGGAGGTGACAGCGCAGCTCTGCTGGAGGCTGAGCTGGCCTTGCGCCTGGCACTGCCCTGCTGGACGTGCGATCTTGGGCAGGGGGCTCACCCTCTTCCTGCCTCAGTGTTCTCCTCTGTAAAATGGACGTGCTTACAGCACCTAGGAGCAGGGCCCTAGGAAACCAGAAACAGGACAGCGCTAGGGGCTGGGCCATCAGAGCGGTCCTGGTGGTCTGTCCTGGAATCAGGGCTTTGAGGCAACCGAGTGTGCAGCGGGAGACAGGCGCTCTCCATGCTGGCATGGGGAGCCCGCCAGGAAGACAGCTTGGCTCCCGTCACCAGCGTCTCTGCCTCCTCCTGTGGGTCCTGACCACTCCGCCCTGCTCGGACCCCAGGTCTCCTGCACCTGCTACGGCGTGGGGGCAGGGGAGTGCAGCCAGGCAGCACATAGAGGGTGGGGAGAGGCGCTACGCAGAAGTGGTCCTGAGCACCAAGCAGGAGCCCAGAACACTCAAAGGCAGAAACGGATTCTTCACAGCTCTGCCAGTGAGCAGCCTCGCTCCCGTCTGCTTTAGAATCGCCAAGACACAGTACTCGCTATGACAGCCTCTGCAGGAGCAGCCCAGCCACAGGCCAAGGAGCAAGCTGCGCTACGTCAGAGGCAAGGACAGACTGACAGTCAAACACCTTCTCTCCCCCCACACACAAGGTCATTCGGAACTCCAAGGACGGTCCAGACGCCTCCTGGCTCTCCTCGGTAATGGACAGAAGCAGTGGCGCAGATAATCCAGCCAAATGGCGGGTAATCCAAAAGCCATTTCCATTTGGCCTTGGGAGAAGCGTCTACGCTCATTCTGAACGCGGGCACCGCGAGCAGCAGCAGGGGCAGCGCGCACCAGCGGGGAGCGGGCGGTGGGGGCGGGCCATGCAGAGGCCATGTGTGCAGGGAGCTTCTTCTGTCCACCCGTCTTTCACGCCCTGTCCAGAAGGCTGGCCGCTGGGCACGGGGAGGCCCTCGGACAGGGTCGCTGAGACAGGAGAGAGAAACTCTTCCTCCCTGCATGGGAGCTGCCTCCCCTGCGCTCTCTGCTCTCCTCCTCCCTCCCTGCTTCCAGTTTGGGGTTCAGGAATGCTAGTCCCCACCATGTGACACAGCCTCACCATCCATGCATTGGTCTCTTCACCCTGCCACACCTCTGTGGACAGCTCCTTCCTTAAAACTCTTGTGTTAGACCACCTGGGCAAGCTTTATTTCCTAACCACACCTTGAAAGTTAGGGACTGCAGCTGAGGGCCGGGCTGGAGCAGGGGGAGTGCATGTTGAAACAGACAAGTAGAGGGACTGCATTGTGGCGTCATGGGTTAAGCCACTGCCCGCGATACCGGAATCCCATATGGGCAGGTTCTGGGTTTCTGGCTCCTGGCTTCAGCCTGGCCCAGCCTTAGCTATTTCAGGTATTTGGGGAGTGAACTAGAAGATGGAAGATCTCTCTCTCTCTTTCTCTCTCTCTCTTGCTCTCTCTCTCTCATAAATAAATAAACAATTTAAAGAGAGAGAGAGAGGAAGAGAAACCATGCTGAAGTGCTTGAGATGGAACCATGGTGCTATCTACACCTTTCAAATGTTCACCCAAGAAATTATGTGATGCAGGTGTGGGTGTTCAGCCTCGTGGTTAAGACTCCCACAGCCCAGCAGGGGATGTGAGTTTACCCAGCCCAACTCCTGACTCCAGCTTCCTGCCAGTGCAGACCCTGGGAGGTAGCAGCAATGGCGCAAGTCTTTGGGTCCCTGCCCTTCATGTGGGAAGTGAACATTGAGTTCCAGGCTCCTGATTGTAGCCTGGCCCAGCCCCAGCTCTGGCAGGCATTTGGAGGAATAAACTAGTGAATGGGAGTCAGTCTCTCTCTCTCTCTCTCTCTCTCTCTCTCTCTCTCTCTCATTTCTCTACTTCTCAAATAAATAATCTTTTAAAAGTGAAATTATATGAAACACACACACGCATATACACGCACACATACATATGATGATATTTGAAAAGTTCATGGAAAATAGAAACAAAATTAAAAGAGAACTTATTTATACCCTCATATATATGTGGGTAGATAGAAACAAAGAAACACACAGAGGAAGCCAAGGTGTCAAAATGTGAAAAATAATCAAACATGTATTATTCAGTGTGATTCTTTTTTAAGCTTTTCATGTAGGTTT